TCTATCGCCTCGGTCTTTTGGGGAATGGTTTGGTTCGTACCCCAGTCTTTTGAATGGGAATGGGTTGGTTTCGTCTATCGCCCGGTGGTCTTTTGAATGGGAATGGGTTGGTTCGTCTATCGCCCGGTGGTATATACTCCCAGTCTTTTTGAATGGGAATGGGTTGGTTCGTCTATCGGACGGTGGTATATACTCCTTTGAATGGAAAAGGGTTGGTTCGTCTATCGGACGGTGGTATACATTCCCCAGTCTTTTGAATGGGAATGGGTTGGTTCGTCTATCGCCAGGGTATACACAGTCTTTTGAATGGGAATGGGTTGGTTCGTCTATCGGACCCGGTGGTATATCGGACGGTATATACCTCCCAGTCTTTTGAATGGGAATGGGTTGGTTCGTCTATCGCCCGGTGGTATATACTCCCAGTCTTTTGAATGGGAATGGGTTGGTTCGTCTATCGCCCGGTGGTATAATGGGAATGGGTTGGTTCGTCCCAGTCTTTTGAATGGGAATGGGTTGGTTCGTCTATCGGACGGTGGTATATACTCCCCAGTCTTTTTGAATGGGAATGGGGTTCGTCTATCGGACGGTGGTATATACTCCCCAGTCTTTTGAATGGGAATGGGTTGGTTCGTCTATCGGACAGGTGGTATCGGACCGGGTGGTATATACCCCAGTCTTTTGAATGGGAATGGGTTGGTTCGTCTATCGCCTGGTGGTATATACTCCCCAGTCTTTTTGAATGGGAATGGGTTGGTTCGTCTATCGGACGGTGGTAAATATTCCCCAGTCTTTTGAATGGGAATGGGTTGGTTCGTCTATCGCCAGGTGGTATATACTTTTTTTGAATGGGAATGGTTGGTTCGTCTATCGGACGGTGGTATATACTCCCCAGTCTTTTGAATGGGAATGGGTTGTTCGTCTATCGGACGGTTGGTAAATACTCCCCCAGTCTTTTTGAATGGGAATGGGTTGGTTCGTCTATCGACGGTGGTATATACTCCCCAGTCTTTTGAATGGGAATGGGTTGGTTCGTCTATCGGACAGTATATACCCCCAGTCTTTTGAATGGGAATGGGTTGGTTCGTCTATCGGACGGTGGTATATACTCCCAGTCTTTTGAATGGGAATGGGTTGGTTCGTCTATCACACTCCCCAGTGGGTTTGGTTCGTCTATCGGACGGTGGTACTCCCAGTCTTTTGAATGGGAATGGGTTGGTTCGTCTATCGCCCGGTGGTATATACTCCCCAGTCTTTTGAATGGAATGGGTTGGTTCGTCTATCGGACGGTGGTCTTTTGAATGAATATATCGGACGATTGGTATAATCCCCCCCAGTCTTTTGAATGGGAATGGGTTGGTTTCGTCTATCGGACGGTGGTATATACTCCCAGTCTTTTGAATGGGAATGGGTTGGTTCGTCTATCGCCCGGTGGTATATACTCCCCAGTCTTTTGAATGGGAATGGGTTGGTTCGTCTGTCGCCCGGTGGTATATACTCCCCAGTCTTTTGAATGGGAATGGGTTGGTTCGTCTATCGGACGGTGGTATATACTCCCCAGTCTTTTGAATGGGAATGGGTTGGTTCGTCTATCGGACGGTGGTATATACTCCCCAGTCTTTTGAATGGGAATGGTTCTATCGGACGGTGGTATATATTCCCCAGGGAATGGGAATGGGTTGGTTCGTCTATCGGACGGTGGTATACTCCCCAGTCTTTTGAATGTGATGGGTTGGTTCGTCTATCGGACGGTGGTATATACTCCCCAGTCTTTTGAATGGGAATGGGTTGGTTCGTCTATCGGACGGTGGTATATATACCCCCAGTCTTTTGAATGGGAATGGGTTGGTTCGTCTATCGGACGGTGGTATATACTCCCCAGTCTTTTGAATGAATAGGTTGGTTCGTCTATCGGACGGGGGTATACTCCCCAGTCTTTTGAATGGGAATGGGTTGGTTCGTCTATCGGACGGTGGTATACTCCCCAGTCTTTTGAATGGGAAATGGGTTGGTTCGTCTATCGGACGGTGGTATGTACTCCCCAGTCTTTGAATGGGAATGGGTTGGTTCGTCTATCGGACGGTGGTATATACTCCCAGTCTTTTGAATGGGAATGGGTTGGTTCGTCTAATCGGACGGTGGTATATACTCCCCAGTCTTTTGAATGGTTGGTTCGTCTATCGCCCGGTGGTATATACTCCCAGTCTTTTGAATGGGAATGGGTTGTCTATCGTCTATCGTCTTTTGAATGGGAATGGGTTGGTTCGTCTATCGGATATACACCCCAGTCTTTTGAATGGGAATGGGTTGGTTCGTCTATCGGACGGTGGCATATACTCCCAGTCTTTTGAATGGGAATGGGTTGGTTCGTCTGTCGACGGTGGTATAATACTCCCAGTCTTTTGAATGGGAATGGGTTGGTTCGTCTATCGGAGGTGGTATACTTTTTGAATGGGAATGGGTTGGTTCCTATCGGAGTGGTATATACTTTTGAATGGGAATTGGTTGGTTCGTCTATCGGACGGTGGTATACACTCCCCAGTCTTTGAATGGGAATGGGTTGGTTCGTCTGTCGGACGGTGGTATACACACCCCAGTCTTTTTGAATGGGAATGGGTTGGTTCGTCTATCGGACGGTGGTATATACTCCCCAGTCTTTTTGAATGGGAATGGGTTGGTTCGTCTATCGGACGGTGGTATTCCCCAGTCTTTTGAATGGGAATGGGTTGGTTCGTCTATCGCCCGGTGGTATATACCCCAGTCTTTTGAATGGGAATGGGTTGGTTCGTCTATCGGACGGTGGTATACACTCCCCAGTCTTTGAATGGGGAATGGGTTGGTTCGTCTGTCGGACGGTGGTATATACTCCCAGTCTTTTGAATGGGAATGGGTTGGTTCGTCTATCGGACGGTGGTATATACTCCCCAGTCTTTTCAATGGGAATGGGTTGGATTTCGTCTATCGGACGGTGGTATATACTCAGTCTTTTTGAATGGGAATGGGTTGGTTGGGTATATACTCCCAGTCTTTTGAATGGGAATGGGTTGGTTCGTCTATCGGACGGTGGTATATACCCCAGTCTTTTGAATGGGAATGGGTTGGTTCGTCTATCGGACGGTGGTATATACTCCCCAGTCTTTTGAATAGAATAGTTTGGTTCGTCTATCGGACAGTGGTATACACTCCCCAGTCTTTTGAATGGGAATGGGATGGTTCGTCTATCGGACAGTGGTATATACTCCCCAGTCTTTTGAATGGGAATGGTTGGTTCGTCTATCGGACGGTGGTATACACTCCCCAGTCTTTTGAATGGGAATGGGACTTTCGTCTATCGGACGGTGGTATATACTCCTCAGTCTTTTGAATGGGAATGGGTTGGTTCGCCTATCGGACGGTGGTATATACTCCCCAGTCTTTTGGGGAATGGGTTGTTCGTCTATCGCCCGGTGGTCTATCGGACCCCCCAGTCTTTTGAATGGGAATGGGTTGGTTCGTCTATCGTTTTGAATATTGGTTCCTATCGGACGGGAATAGGAATGGGTTGGTTCATCTATCGGACGGTGGTATATACTCCCCAGTCTTTTGAATGGGAATGGGTTGGTTCGTTCATCGGACGGGTGGTATATACTCCCCAGTCTTTTGAATGGGAATAGGTTGGTTCGTCTATCGGACGGTGGTACCATATACTCCCAGTCTTTTGAATGGGAATGGGTTACGTCTATCGGACGGTGGTATACTCCCCAGTCTCTTTTTGAATGGGAATATGGTTGGTTCGTCTATCGGACGGTGGTATATACTCCCCAGTCTTTTGAATGGGAATAGGTTGGTTCGTCGTCTTTCCGAATGTGGGTATATCTACTTCTTTTGAATGGGAATGGGTGGTTGAGTTTCGTTGGTATATCGGACGTCTTTTGAATGGAATGGGTTGGTTCGTCTATCGGACGGTGGTATACAATGGGTCCCCAGTTTTGGAATGGGAATTTTGAATGGGAATGGGTTGGTTCGTCTATCGGACGGTGGTATATACTCCAGTCTTTTGAATGGGAATGGGTTGGTTCGTCTATCGGACGGTGGTATATACTCCCCAGTCTTTGAATGGGGAATGGGTTCGGTTCAATCGGACGGTGGTATATACACCCCAGTCTTTTGAATGGGAATATGGTGTTATTTCAATAGGAATCGGTGGTTGGTTCGTCTATCGGACGGTGGTATATACCCAGTCTTTTTGAATGGGAATGGGTTGGTTCGTCTATCGGACGGTGGTATATACCCCCAGTCTTTTTAATGGAATGGGTTTGGTTCATCTATCGGACGGTGGTATATCTTCCCCTTTTCTGGACTTTTGAATGGGAATGGGGTTGGTTCGTCTATCGGACCCGGTGGTATCCCAGTCTTTTGAATGGGAATGGGTTGGTTCGTCTATCGGACGGTTATACTCCCAGTCTTTTGAATGGGGAATGGTTGGTTCGTCTATCGGACGGTGGTATATACCCCAGTCTTTTGAATGTGAATGGGTTGGTTCGTCTATCGGACGGTGGTATATACTCCCAGTCTTTTGAATGGAATGGGTTGGTTCGTCTATCGGACGGTGGTATATACCCCAGTCTTTTGAATGGGAATGGGTTGGTTCGGTGGACGGTGGTATATACTCCCCAGTCTTTTGAATGGGAATGGGATGGTTCGTCTATCGGACGGTGGTATATACTCCCCGTCTTTGAATGGAATGGGTTGGTTCGTCTATCGGACGGTCTGTCTTTTTCGTTTATCGGATGGTATATACTCCCCCAATGGGTTGGTTCGTCTGACGCCCGGTATATAATCCCCAGTCTTTTGAATGGGAATGGGTTGGTTCGTTCATCGGACGGTGGTATATACTCCCCAGTCTTTTGAATGGGAATGGGTTGGTTCGTCTATCGGACGGTGGTATATACCCCAGTCTTTTGAATGGGAATGGGGTTCGTCTATCGGACGGTGGTATCGGAATGGGAATGGGTTGGTTCGTCTTAATATGGAATGGGAATGGGTTGTTCGTCCAATCGGACGGTGGTATATACTCCCCAGTCTTTTTGAATGAATGGGTTGGTTCGTCTATCGGACGGTGGTATATACTCTGATGAATGGGAATATGGTTCGTCTATCGGACGGTGGTATATATTCCAGTCTTTTGAATGGGAATGGGTTGGTTCGTTATCGGTACGGTGGGATATATTCCTCCAGAATGGAATGGGTTGGTTCGTATCGGACGGTGGTATACTCCCAGTCTTTGAATGGAATGGGTTGGTTCGTCTATCGGACGGTGGTATACGTCTTTTTGAATGGAATGGGTTGGTTCGTCTATCGGACGGTGGTATATACCCAGTCTTTTGAATGAATGGGTTGGTTCGTCTTTCGGACGGTGGTATATATTCCCCAGTCTTTTGAATACGTCTATCGGACGGTGGTATGTACTCCCAGTCTTTTGAATTGGTTCGTCTATCGGACGGTGGTATATACTCCCAGTCTTTTGAATGGGAATGGGGTTGTTCGTTATCGGACGGTGGGTATACACCCCCAGGGGAATGGGTTGGTTCGTCTATCGGACGGTGGTATATACTCCCAGTCTTTGAATGGGAATGGGTTGGTTCGTTTATCGACGGTGGTATACCTCCCAGTCTTTTGAATGGGAATGGGTTGGTTCGTCTATCGGACGGTGGTATATACTCCCCAGTCTTTTTGAATGGGTACTCCCCAGTCTTTTGAATGGGTTGGTTCGTCTATCGGACGGTGGTATACACCCCCAGTCTTTTGAATGGGAATGGGTTGGTTCGTCTATCGGACGTTGGTTCATACGGTCCCCCCAGGAATGGAATGGGTGGTTTCGTCTATTTGACGGTGGTATATACCTCCCAAATGTTGGTTCGTTTGAATGGGAATGGGTTGGTTCGTCTATTTTAATTTGGTTCGTTCATACGGTGGTATATCCCAGTCTTTTGAATGGGAATGGGTTGGTTCGTCTATCGGACGGTGGTATATACTCCCAGTAATGGGAATAGGTTGGTTCATCGACGGTGGTATATACCCCAGTCTTTTGAATGGGAATGGGGTTCTTATCGGTTACTCGTTTATGATCGGAATGGGAATGGGTTTGTTCGTCTCATCGGACGGTGGTATATACCCCAGTCTTTGAATGGGAAAATCGGGTTGGTGGTTCGTCTTTCAATGAATGGGAATTAGGTTGTTCGTCTATCGGACGGTGGTATATACCCCCAGTCTTTTTGAATGGGAATGGGTTGGTTCGTTGGTTCATCGGACGGTATACCCCCAGTCTTTTGAATGGGAATGGGTTGGTTCGTTCATATGGTATATCTTTTGAATGGGAATGGGCCCCCAGTCTTTTGAATGGGGTTCGTCTATCGGACGGTTATATACTTCCAGTTTTGAATGGAAATGGGTTGGGTTCGTCTATCGGACGGTGGTATATACTCCCCAGTCTTTTGAATGGGAATGGGTTGGTTCGTCTATCGGACGGTGGTATACACTCTTTTTGAATGGGAATGGGTTGGTTCGTCTATCGGACGGTGGTATACACTCCCCAGTCTTTTGAATGGGAATGGGTTGGACGGTGGTATACTCCCCAGTTTGAATGGGAATCGGTTGACATCGGACGGTATATACCCCAGTCTTTTGAATGGGAATGGGTTGGTTCGTCTATCGGACGGTCGACAGTCTTTTTGAATGTGGGTTGGTTCGTTCATATACTCCTTTTGAATGAATGTTGGTTCGTCTTTTTGAATGTCTTTGAATGGGAATGGGTTGGTTCGTATATACTCTATCGGACGGTGGTATATACTCCCCAGTCTTTTGAATGGGAATGGGTTGGTTCGTCTATCGGACGGTGGTATATACTCCCAGTCTTTTGAATGGGAATGGGTTGGTTCGTCTATCGGACGGTGGTATATACTCCCCAGTCTTTTGAATGGGAATGGGTTGGTTCGTCTATCGGACGGTGGTATATCTCCCCAGTCTTTTGAATGGAATGGGTTGGTTCGTCTATCGGACGGTGGTATATACTCCCCAGTCTTTTGAATGGAATGGGTTGGTTTGAATGGGAATGGGGGTTGGTTCGTTCATCGGACGGTGGTATATAATCCCCAGTCTTTTGAATGGGAATGGGTTGTCTCAATCTATCGGACGGGGTATACTTCCCTGTCCCGGAGTCTTTTAATTTCGGTCGTTGGTATATCGGACGATGTCAGTCTTTTGAATGGGAATGGGTTGGTTCGTCTATCGGACGGTGGTATATACCCCCAGTCTTTGAATGGGAATGGTTGTCCGTGAATGGGAATGGTTGGTTCGTTATACATTGACGGACGGTGGTATACTCCCCCAGTCTTTGAATGGGAATGGGTTGGTTCGTCTGTCGTCTTTTGAATGGGGGTTGGTATCGGACGGTCCCCAGTCTTTTGGGAATGGTTGGTTCAATGGAATATACCCAGTCTTTGAATGGAATGGGTGGTTCGTCTATCGGACTTGTTCGTCTGAATCGCCCGGGGTTGGTTCATCGGACGGTGGTATATACGTGAATGGAATGGGTTGGTTCGTCCATCGACGGTGGTATATACCCCGTCCGTTGAATGGGAATGGGTTGGTTCGTTCATCCCAGTCTTTGAATGGGAATGGGTTGGTTCGTTCGGACGGTGGTATACACGGTGCGTATCGACGGTGGTATATACCCAGTCTTTTGGGGAATGGGAATGGGTCTTTGAATGGGAATCTGTTCGTCTATCGGACGGTGGTATATACCCCAGTCTTTTTTGAATGGGAATGGGTTGGTTCGTCTATCGCCCGGTGGTATATACCCCAGTTTTTTGAATGGGAATGGGTTGGTTCGTCTCTATCGGACGGGTGGGGGTATACTCCCAGTCTTTGAATGGGAATGGGTTGGTTCGTCTATCGGATGGTGGTATGTACAGTCTTTTGAATGGGAATGGGTTGGTTTGTCTGTCGGACGGTGGTATATACCCCCAGTCTTTTGAATGGGAATGAATGGACGGTGGTATATACTCCCCAGTCTTTTTGGGGAATGGGTTGGTTCGTCTATCGGACGGTGGTATACACTCCCAGTCTTTTGAATGGGAATGGGTTGGTTCGTTCATCGGATTTGGTTCCCAGTCGAATGGGAATGGGATGGTTATCGCCTGGTGGTATATACCCAGTCTTTTGAATGGAATGGGTTGTTCGTTCATTGGAAAATGGTTTTTGAATGGAAACAGGGTTGGTTCGTTCATCGGACGGTGGTATATACCCCAGTCTTTTGAATGGGAATGGGTTGGTTCGTCTATCGGACGGTGGTATATACCCCCAGTCTTTTGGGAATGGGGTTCGTTCATCGGGTTATATTCCAGTCTTTCGGAATGGGTTGGTTCGTCTATGGTATATACCCCAGTCTTTTGAATGGGAATGGGTTGGTTCGTCTATCGGACGGTGGGAATATATACCCCAGTCTTTGAATGGGGATGGGTGAATGGGTTGGTTCATATCGGACGGTGGTTCGTCTTTGAATGGAATCGGGACGGTGGTATATACCCCAGTCTTTTGAATGGGAATGGGTTGGGACGGTTATACGCCTATCGGACGGTGGTATATAGTCTGCTGAATGGGGAATAGGTTGGTTCGTCCCAGTCTTTTGAATGGGAATGGGTTGGTTCATCATCGGACGGTGGTATATACCCCTGTCTTTTTGAATGGGGATGGGTTTGGTATATACGGCGGTATACTCCCAGTCTTTTGAATGGGAATGGGATGGTTCGTCTATCGGACGGTGGTATATACCCCCAGTCTTTTGAATGGGAATGGATATACCAGAGTCTTTGAATGGGAATGGGTTGGTTCGTATCGGACGGTGGTATATACCCCAGTCTTTTTCAATGGGAATGGGTTGGTTCGTTCGGACGGTTTATAATCCATTTCTTTTGGGGAAATATGTTGGTTCGGGACGGTATATACCCCCAGTCTTTTGAATGGGAATGGGTTGGTTCGTTCATCGGACGAATGGGAAATGGGTTGTCTGTATCGGACCCCCAGTCTTTTGAATGGGAATGGGTTGGTTCGTCTATCGGACGGGAATGGGTTGGTTCGTCTGTACGGTGGTATATTCCCCAGTCTTTTTGAATGGGAATGGGTTGTTCGTTATCGGACGGTGGTATATACCCCCAGTCTTTGAATGGGAAATGGGTTGGTTCGGTCGGTTTGAATGACGGTGGTATATACCCCCAGTCTTTGAATGGGAATGGGTTGGTTCGTCTATCGGACGGTGGTATACACCCCCAGTTTTTTGAATGGGAATATCGGACGGTGGTTCATCTATCGGACGGTGGTATATAGGCTCCCAGTCTTTTGAATGGGGAATGTGGTTCGTTCTGTCGCCCGGTGGGTATACTCCCCAGTGAATGGGAATGGTTCATCGTTTATCGGAAGGTGGCATGGTTCCCCCAGTCTTTTGATATATATACCCCAGTCTTTTGAATGGGATATACTCCCCCAGTCTTTTCAATGGTGGGATGTTCGTCATCGCCCGGTGGGGTTGGTCTGTCTACGGTGGTATATACCCCAGTCTTTTGAATGGGAATGGGTTGTTCGCGTCGGACGGTGGTTATTCCATCGAATGAATGGGCTTTGTTCGTCTTCGACGGTGGGTATATACTCCCAGTCTTTGAATGGGAATGGGTTGGTTCATCGGACGGTGGTATACTTCCCAGTCTTTTGAATGGGAATATGTTGGTTCGTCTATCGACGGTGGTATATACCAGCAGTCTTTTGAATGGGAATGGGTTGGTTCGTTTTCGAATATACTCCCCAGTCTTTGAATGGGAAATGGGTTGGTTCGTCGCCCGGTGGTATATACTCCGGACGGTTGGTCTGCCTATCGGGACGGTGGGTATATACTCCCAGGGGAATCTTTTTGAATGTGAATGGGTTGGTTCGTCTATCGGACGGTGGTATATACTTCCCTGTCTTTGAATGGGAATGAGTTGGTTCGTCTATCCGACGGTGGTATATACTCCCCAGTCTTTTTGAATGAATGGGTTGGTTCGTTATAGGACGGTGGTATATACCCAGTCCCAGTTTTTGGTGGTATATTTTTTGAATGGGAATGGGTTGGTTTCGTCTATCGGACGGTGGTATACCCCCAGTCTTTGAATGGAATGGGTTGGTTCGGTCTATCGGACGGTGGTATATACCCCCTTTTTGAATGGGAATGGGTTTTTGAATATACTCCCAGTCTTTTGAATGGGAATGGGTTGGTTCGTTATCGGACGGTGGGAATATGGTTCGTCTCGACGCGGCATATACCAGTCTTTTGAATGGGAATGGGTTGGTTCGTCTATCGGACGGTGGCATATACACTCCCCCGGATTTGAATGGTATATGATATACACTCCCTGGCCCCCCAGTTTTTTGAATGGGAATGGGTTGGTCTGTCTATCGACGGTGGTCTTGTCCAGTCTTTGACGGTGGGACGGCAGGTACACCCTTTTGAATGGGGAATGGGTTGGTTCCCAGTCTTCTTTTTAATGGGAATGGGTTGGTTCGTTTATCGGGCATACGGTCTTTTGAATGGGAAATGGTTGGTTCGGGACGGTCAAGTCTTTTGAATGGGAATGGGTTGTTCGTCCATCGGACGGTGGTATATACCCCAGTCTTTGAATGGGAATGGGTTCGGTGGTTATAACCGTTTTGAATGGGAATGGTTGATTCGTCTATCGGACGGCGGTATATACTCCCCAGTCTTTGAATGGGAATGGGTTGGTTCGTCTATCGGACGGTGGTATATACTCCCCAGTCTTTTGAATGGGAATGGGTTGGTTCGTCTATTTGGTATGGGAATGGGTTGGTTATCGGACGGTGGTATACACTCCCAGTCTTTTTGAATGGGAATGGGTTGGTTCGTCTGTCGGACGGTGGTATATACAGCAGTCTTTTGAATGGGAATGGGTTGGTTCGTCTATCGGACGGTGGTATATACTCCCAGTCTTTTGAATGGGAATGGGTTGGTTCGTCTATCGGAATATAATCCCCAGTTTTGAATGGGAATTTGGTTCATCTATCGGACGGTGGTATATACTCCCAGTCTTTGAATGTGGAATCTTTTTGGTAATGGAATGAATGGGTTGGTTCGTCTATCGGACGGTGGTATATACTATCGGAATGGGAATGGGTTGGTTCATCTATCGGACGGTGGTATATACGTCTTTTGATGGGAATGGGTTGGTTGGTATCGGACGGTGGTAAATACTCCCAGTCTTTTGAATGGGTTCGTCTGTTTTATACTCCCCAGTCTTTGAATGGGAATACACCCCAGGTTGGTTTCGTCTATCGGACGGTGGTCTTTTGAATGGGAATGGGTTGGTTCCTATCGGACAGTAAATTTTTTGAATGGGAATGGGTTGGTTCGTCTATCGGACGGTGGTATACACCCCCAGTTTTGAATGGGAATGGGTTGGTTGCGTTTATCGGACGGTGGTTATACCCCAGTCTTTGAATGGAATGGTTGGTTCGTCTATCGGAATCCCCAGTCTTTTGAATGGAATGGGTTGGTTGAATCGAGACGGTGGTATACCCCAGTCTTTTGAATGGGAATGGGGTTCGTCTATCGGAAGCAGTCTACCCTCGAATGAATGGGTGGTTCGTCTATCGGAGGTGGTATATATCACCAGTCTTTTTGAATGGAATGGGTTGGTTCGTCCTATCGGACAGTCATTTCGGTGGTATACTCCCGCAGCTTTTTAATGGGAATGGGTTGGTTCGTCTATCGGACGGTGGTATATACTCCCCAGTCTTTTGAATGGGAATGGGTTGGTTCGTCTATCGACGGTGGTATATACTCCCCAGTCTTTGAATATTGGTTCGTCTATCGGACAGTCTTTTGAATGGGAATGGGTCTATCGGACGGTGGTATACACCCCAGTCTTTGATCGGACGGTGGTATACCCCCCAGTCTTTTGAATGGGAATGGGGTTCATCGGACGGTGGGTATATACTCCCCAGTCTTTTTGATGGGAATGGTTGGTTCGTCTTCGGACGGTGGTATATATACCCATTCTTTTTGAATGGGAATGGGTTGTTCGTCTATCGGACGGTGGTATATACCCCAGTCTTTTGAATGGAATGGGTTGGTTCGTCTATCGGACGGTGGTATACCCCAGTCTTTGAATGGGAATGGGTTGGTTCGTCTAACGGTGGTATATACTGGTCTTTTGAATGTTTGGTTCGTCTATCGGACGGTGGTATATACCCCCTTTTGAATGTCTTTTGAATGTCTTTTGGGGAATGGGTTGGTTCGTCTATCGGACGGTCTATCTTTTTGAATGGGAATGGGTTCGTTCGTCTATCGGACGGTGGTATATACCCCCAGTCTTTTGAATGGGAATGGGTTGGTTCGTTCATCGGACGGTGGTATACATTCCCCAGTCTTTGAATGGAATTGGATTGTCGTTCATTCTGGTGGTATCTAATGAATGGGTTGGTTCGTCATCGGACGGTGGTATAATTCGCCCAGTCTTTTTGAATGGGAATGGGGTTGGTTCGTCTATCGGAATGGTGGTATATACTCCCCAATGGGAATGGCTTTTGAATGGTTGGTGGTATATACCCAGTTTTTGATCGTATCGGACGGTGGTATATACCCCAGTCTTTTTGGAATGGGCTTGGTTCGTCTGTCGGACGGTGGTATACTGGGACGGTGGTATACACTCCCAGTCTTTTTGAATGGGAATGGGTTGGTTCGTCTATCGGACGGTGGTATATACCCCAGTTTTTTGAATGGGAATGGGTTGGTTCGTCTATCGGATGGTATATACGAATGAAATGGGTTGGTATCGCCCGGTGGTATAATCCCCAGTCTTTTTGAATGTCGTTTGAATGGAATGGGTTGGGTTCGTCTATCGGACGGTGGTATACACTCCCCAGTCTTTTGAATGGGAATGGGTTGGTTCGTCTATCGGACGGTGGTATACAGTCTTTTTTGAATGGGAATGGGTTGGTTCGTTATCGGACGGTGGGTATATACTCCCCAGTCTTTTGAATGGAATGGTTCGTCTATCGCCCGGTGGTATATACCCCCAGTCTTTTGAATGAATGGGTTGGTTCGTCTATCGGACGGTGGTATATACTCCCAGTCTTTTGAATGGGAATGGGTTGGTTCGTCTGTCGCCCGGTGGTAATATACTCCGGATTGCAGTCGTTTTGAATGGGAATGGGTTGGTTCATCGGTGGGATATCTATCGGACGGTGGTATATAATGGGAATGGTTCGTCCAGGTGGTTTTGAAATGGGAATGGGTTCGTCTATTGGTTCATATATACTATCGAATGGGGTTGGTATCGTCTTTACGGTTCGTGGTATATACTCCCCAGTCTTTTGAATGGGAATGGGTTGGTTCGTCTATCGGACGGTGTCATATACCCCCGGAATGGAATGGGTTGTCTGTCTATCGGACGGTGGTATACCCCCAGTCTTTTGAATGGGAATGGGTTGGTTCGTCTATCGGACGGTGGTATATACTCCCCAATGTCTTTTGAATGGGAATGGGAATGGGTTGGTTCGTGGACGGTGGTATATTCGTCTATCGGAATGGGTTGTTCGTCTATCGGACGGTATATATCCCCAGTCTTTGAATGGAATGGGTTGGTTCGTCTGTCGGACGGTGGTATATACGTCTTTTGAATGGGAATGGGATGGTTCGTCTATCGACGGTGGTATATACTCCCCAGTCTTTTGAATGGGAATGGGTTTCGTTCGTCTATCGGACGGTGGTATATACTCCCCGCAGTTTTTTGAATGGAATGGGGTTGGTTCGTCTATCGGACGGTGGTATATACTCCCCAGTCTTTTGAATGGGAATAAATTTGGTTCGTTTATCGTTCATACGCCCGGAATGTATCGGACGGTGGTATACTCCCCCAGTCTTGAATGGGAATGGGTTGGTTCGTCTATCCGGACGGTTACGTCTTTGAATCGTCTATCCGGACGGGTGGTATATACCCCAGTCTTTTGAATGGGAATGGGTTGTTCGTCATCGGACGGTGGTATATACTTTTTTGAATGGGAATGGGTTGGTTCGTCTATCGGACGGTGGTATATACTCCCAGTCTTTTTGAATGGGGAATGGGTGGTATATACCCCCAGTTTTTGATGGGAAGGTCTATCGGAACGGAATGGTATATCGGACGGTGGTATACCCAGTCTTTTGAATGGAAATGGGTTGGTTTTTATCGGACGGTGGTATATATGGACGGTGGTATATACTCCCAGTCGAATAGAATGGGTTGGTTCGTCTATCGGTGGTGGTATAATTCCCCAGTCTTTTGTCTATCGACGGTGGTAATGGGAATGGGTTGGTTCGTTCGGACGGTGGTATATACTCCCAGTCGAATGGGAATCGGTTGGTTCGTCTATCGGACGGTGGTATATACTCCCCAGTCTTTTGAATGAATGGGTTGGTTCGTCTATCCGACGGTATCGGACGGTGGTATACGGTGGTACATAATCCCCAGTCTTTTGAATGGGAATGGGTGGTTCGTCTATCGGACGGTGGTATATACTCCCCATTCTTTTGACAGTCTTTGAATGGGAATGGGTTGGGTTGTCTCGTCTATCGGACGGTGGTATATACTCCCCAGTCTTTTGAATGGGAAATGGGTTGGTTCGTCTGTCGGACGGTGGTATATACATCCCAGTCTTTTTGAATGGGAATGGGTTGGTTCGTCTATAGGACGGTGGTTGGGAATGTGTTGGTTTGTTCATCCCGGTGGTATATACCCCCAGTCTTTTGAATGGGAATGGGTTGGTTCGTCTATCGGACGGTGGTATATACCCCCAGTCTTTTGAATGGAATGGGTTGGTTCGTCTATCGGACGGTGGTATACCCCCCAGTCTTTTGAATGGGAATGGGTTGGTTCGTCTATCGGACGGTGGTATATACGGTGGTATACCCCAGTCTTTGAATGGGGTTCGTTCAATGGTTGGTTCGTCTATCGGATGGTGGTATACACTCCCCAGTCTTTTTTTTGGGAATGGGTTGGTTCGTCTATCGGACGGTGGTATATACTCCCAGTCTTTTGAATGGGAAATGGTTGGTTCGTTTATCGGACGGTGGTATATACCCCAGTCTTTTGAATGGACGTCAATCGGACGGTGGTATATACCCCCAGTCTTTTGAATGGGAATGGGTTGGTTCGTCTATCGGACGGTGGTATATACTCCGCAGTCTTTTGAATGGGAATCTGGTTCGTCATCGGACGGTATATACTCCCCAGTCTTTGAATGAATGGGAATGGGTTAATCGTTCTATCGGACGGTGGTATACGACGGTCCGCAGTCTTTTTGAATGGGAATGGGTT